TTTGACACTCCCCCATAACTGCCTGCAGCAGGAGTATGTGCAGAATACAACCTGCAGGTGTACACATGCAAAACAATAAAAAGCAAGCAACAGCAGGTAATGCAGGCGGGCTGACACTAGGTGGTCACCCCCTCCATCTCCTCACCCTCCTCCTTCCCCTCCCCCACACTGCTGCAGGAGCAGCAGAGAAGGGGGGAAGAGAGGAGAGATGGAGGGACGGCTGCGTGTTGCCTCACACCCGCCACCCCGGTACCACTCCCCCTGCTCCCCCACACCCTCACACCCTCCCCCCCAGCGGCAGCTGCAGCGGTGGGACTGAAAGGAGGAGGAGGGGAAGGGAAAGAGTCGACCCAACACTCCAACACCCGCCACCCCCATACCCTCCTCCCCACGGCTGCAGGGAGACAAAGGAGGAGGGGGTGGGCGGGAAGAAAGCCGCAGAGCGGCTAAACGGTGTCGGTGCTGATAGGTCAGGGGCGGCTTCAGGGAGAGCAGGGGCGGAAAGGCCCGTCGCGTGCCACGGGGCGCACGACGGGTAAGTTTAAGTGAAAGGGCCCGATCGTGTGCCTCGGGGCGCACGACGAGCAGGGCACCGTCGCGTGACACGGGGCGCACGACGGGCAGGTTAAGGGCACCGTCGCGTGCCACGGGGCGCGCGACGGGCAGAGAAGGCGTCACACGCCAACCGGGGGCGGGACAAGGAAAAATCGCCACGCGCCCTAGGCGCGCGACCGGAAAATCGTAGCAGCGGAAACGTGAGGTGGGGGCACAGGCCAGAACAAACGTCGCTCTGATACCATGTCGAAAAGTAAGAACAAGAATGTAGTTAAGTTGAAAGTAGGGCCTAGGCTTAGGAGCCTAGGCCCGAGATTAGGTGTTGAGCGGGTTTTGTCCTAGGGAGAAGATCGAGTGAGTTGGAAGAGAGTTGGGAAGGAATGGTGCTTCACTATAGTTTCGAAGTACATATAGCAAAGGAAACAAGTGAAGAGGTGCACCACCTACAGATTTAAATAACTACACTAACTACAGCGACAGGCAGTTACAAATAAATATAGGTTTTGACAGCGATATGATAATTTCTTCAAACGACATGGTTTTTCTCAATTCATTATTGAACCAACTACAGTGAATAATACACTTATTGATCATGTATGGGCAAATTGCTTCAAGACAAAAATTAAAGTCTATGTTGGTGAAACTTATTTCTCTGACCACTTTCCTATTTATGTTGTTATTGATTGATATACTTTCAAAATTGAACGTACATATACCAACGATTGCAGTATTATTCTTTTACGTCTCAAATTTCATGTGGTTTTGAGAGCAGGACCATTTCCGCGCCCGCACAAGCGTACGCAGGCAAGTTTCGGTTTGCTTTGTGTACATGGAAATTAACGTAACGCATGCTAAAACGCACATAATCATTTTCCACCTTGGTTTAGCATTCACTAGTATAATGCTATACTTGCAGGCCACAGCTGAGATTACGTTCAAGTTCATGGAGTCTTGGTTAGCTCCTGGAGAGGAGAGGCCCTCTGATTACCATTTCAAGGCGATGGTGATGTCGACCAAGAACTCATTCATCAAGAACAGTGGAAAGATTTCGCCAGGAAAGGTTCTCCTCTTTGATGTGGAGCGTTCTATCAGTGAGATGGTCTTGTGGCCTGAGACCACAGGATTTAGCCCATGCGATGTGCGAGCAGTGAACGAGTTCTTGATGGGGATTTCCATTGGGGAAGTCTATCAAGTTCGTCGCGTCAATGCTTTGCGCGCACACCCTAGCTGGTACGTTTAGTCAACACTTGAGCATATACATATATACACTTAAATAGTCTTATTAATACATCTGATTTTCTACAGGTCTGTTATTGGAGGCCTTGATTTGCAGTTGCTCTGGTTACACCGCTGTTCATACATGGTGGAGGATAAGGGAGGCTTGCAGCTGACCGTGGGGGACGTGCCCACTCCGACGCTCCACAGTTTTTTTGGGCCGAGAGACGACTCCAGGGTAAGAACAAATTTATTACACTGAACGAATTTGTTGTGTTCATGTTCGAAATGCGTACTTGTGTTTAAGCCATAGTGCCACTTCTTCTTCATGTTTCCAGCTGAAAATTGTCTGATACTTACTGCTTAGCACAATCTCTGTATAGTTTTGGCTCATCTGGTTTGGTTGATGTTCTTACGTTGCAGATGATCATTTGTTATATCGACACTTACTGAGTTGTAAATGCATGTGTTTCATATTCATGATGTCAGAATTCACTTTTCTACCTTCCCAGATCCCTTGCATTTCTGTCCAGCTCAGCGCCTCTTCGCTTGAGTCGCCGGGTGAATTGCCTAAGCTCACAGCTAGCATCCACGATTCGACACTTCGCAGCGTCTTGGTATCTTTGGGGGACACTGCCACACGGATTCACCAGTGCTGTAAGACATACTTGGACGAGCACAGTGATGCTACAGACGTGCCAGTTTACATTAGCAACGTTTATCTAAACTCAGCATTTTTTACCACAACAATGCTTTCCAGCGCTGTCATTCTTGACTCTCGACGAGCGTTGGAGATCACAGATGCTCACGTCACAGAGGAACCACAAGACGTCGGCCTCGTGCAGCTGTAAGTCGACACACGAGTGCATATTAACAGTATATAAGTAAGACGTTCGTTAGTAATGTTCCCGTTTTTCATATTCAGGTTGTCTAGTGTGGACACACTCGTGATGATAACAAAAGAGGAGAAGATAGCGTCCCTCGTTGCTGAAATCAAGGATCCTTTGCACAAGTCTCGCAGAGTGTGCAAGGGTGGTTCGGGGGACTCTGTTTGTCGACTGCCTGTTTTTCGATCATGTGTCTCGCGCGAGTACGAATGCGACGAGCATGGATCCTCGTCGATCACCCAAATTGACGATGTCACCATCACGCTTGTCGTAAAAGAGAGCGGTAAGTACTGTATGCATATATTTTGTGTACAATCTTTCATGTTGTATTCTCGCAATAAGGTTTGCTATTATGTCTTCCTATTTTTCCAGTGTCATACACGGCTCAAGCGCATGGCTTGGTTATTCAACCGAGCATTTTGACCAAGGTGGTCCCGCATCTTCAGATGTCCACCTTTCTCTATTTGCCCTCGGAGGAGCGCCAACGCATGCTGGCCGCTCTTCGAGGTCGTTGGCTTGTAAAGGTACGTGGATTGGCTCTCCAAGATAGTTGAGCGTATTACATATACAACGGATGTGTTATGTACCAACACTTATATTTATCATCTACACTATCTAAAACCTTATGTATGAGTTGTGACCAGTTATACTTCGTTCCCATTTCATGTACACCTTCATTTCTTTCAACTTGACTTCCTTCTTGCTTTCATTTCTTCCCTCGTTCCCTCTTTTCCTTCGATCCGTTTTTTATGTTTCCTCTTTCCTTCATTCTCTAATCTCTTTTTTCGACTTTTTCTCTCCTTCCCTGCTTCCCTTCTTTACTTCTCCTTTCCTTTGTTTTGACAGATTCACTTTGGTCGTGAGGAAGGGCGCGTCATCAAGACCATACTTGATGTTACGAGCGCCTCGCAGTCAAGTGCGTGTCAGAATGTTATTTGTCTAGCTTGCAGTGGGGTGCTCAATAGTGAGTACAACCCCTTAGGGTTTGCCATTTTGTGTGTCCTGCTGCTTCCTAGTCCCCCATTCTTCCTTCCAATTCTCCTTCGTAAACCCTAACTCCTAGTTCTAGAGCAAGCCCACCTACCTCCTAGTGTGGGCCTAGGCTACTAAGCCTAGGCCCCACACCTACTATTTTAACATGGTATCTAGAGCCGGCATGATCCTGCCGCCTAGTTCATCGGGCCCACCACCTACTTCCGCTGCCGTACTATTCGCCGCGCGCCCCGTGGTGCGCGGCATTGCATTTTCATCCCGCCACGCGCTTCGAACGCGTGGCGGCTTTTTCTGCCCGCCGCGCGCTCGGGGCGCGCGGCGGTTTTCCCGTCCGACGGAGCGTCCTCGAGGGGGCCTGCGCGCTGCCCTCCCCGGTGCTCGTCACGGCGCCCCCTGCGGGACCCGCGCGGCGTCGCCCTACTCATCGCGACGTCCGTGCGGGACCCGCGGGGCGTCGCCCCTGCTCGTCGCGACGCCCCCTGCGGGACCCGCGCGGCGTCGCCCTGCTCGTCGCGACGTCCGTGCGGGACCCGCGGGGCGTCGCCCCTGCTCGTCGCGACGCCCCCTGTGGGACCCGCGGGGCGTCGCCCCTGCTCGTCGCGACGCCCCCTGCGGGACCCGCGGGGCGCCGTCAGATCCTGCAGCAGCAGCCGCCGCCGCCCTGCAGCAGCAGCCGCCGCCAGGCCTGCAGCAGCAGCCGCCGCCAGAGCCTGCAGTAGCAGCCGCCGCCAAAGCCTGCAGCAGCAGCCGCCGCCAGAGTCTGCAGCAGCAGCCGCCGCCAGAGCCTGCAGCAGCAGCCGCCGCCGAGCCTGCAGCAGCAGCCGCCGCCAGGCCTGCAGCAGCTGCCGCCACCGAGCCTGCAGCAGCAGCAGCCGCCGCTCTACCAGCAGCAGTAGCCGCCGCCGCTCTGCCACAGCAGCCACCGCCGCCCAGCAGCAGCAGCCGCCGCCAGAGCCTGCAGCAGCAGCCGCCGCCAGGCCTGCAGCAGCTGCCGCCACCGACCCAGCAGCAGCAGCCGCCGCTCTACCAGCAGCAGCAGCCGCCGCCGCTCTGCCGCAGCAGCCACCTCCGCCCAGCAGCAGCAGCCGCCGCCAGAGCCTGCAGCAGCAGCCGCCGCCAGCGCCTGCAGCAGCTGCCGCCCCTGGACCCGGTACGCTCTGTGCTGCCGTGCCTGTGCTGCCCGTGCCTGTGCTGCCCTGTGCTGCCCTGTGCTGCCTGTGCCTGTTGCTGCCTGTGCCTGTGCTGCCCGTGCCTGTGCTGCCCGTGCCTGTGCTGCCCGTGCCTGTGCTGCCTGTGCCTGTTGCTGCCCGTGCCTATGCTGCCCTGTGCTGCCTGTGCCTGTTGCTGCCTATGCCTGTTGCTGCCCGTGCCTGTGCTGCCCGTGCCTGTGCTGCCCGTGCCTGTGCTGCTTGTGCCTGTTGCTGCCTGTGCCTGGTGCTGCCCGTGCCTGTGCTGCCCGTGCCTGTGCTGCCCGTGCCTGTGTTGCCTGTGCCTGTTGCTGCCCGTGCCTGTGCTGCCCTGTGCTGCCTGTGCCTGTTGTTGCCTGTGCCTGTGCTGCCCGTGCCTGTGCTGCCCGTGCCTGTGCTGCCTGTGCCTGTTGCTGCCTGTGCCTGTGCTGCCCGTGCCTGTGCTGCCCGTGCCTGTGCTGCCCGTGCTTGTGCTGCCTGTGCCTGTTGCTGCCTGTGCCTGTGCTGCCCGTGCCTGTGCTGCCCGTGCCTGTGCTGCCCGTGCCTGTGCTGCCCTGTGCTGCCTGTGCCTGTTGCTGCCTGTGCCTGTGCTGCCCGTGCCTCTGCTGCCCGTGCCTGTGCTGCCCGTGCCTGTGCTGCCTGTGCCTGTTGCTGCCTGTGCCTGGAGTTGCCCGTGCCTGTGCTGCCCGTGCCTGTGCTGCCCGTGCCTGTGCTGCCTGTGCCTGTTGCTGCCCGTGCCTGTGCTGCCCTGTGCTGCCTGTGCCTGTTGCTGCCTGTGCCTGTGCTGCCCGTGCCTGTGCTGCCCGTGCCTGTGCTGCCCGTGCCTCTGCTGCCTGTGCCTGTTGCTGCCCGTGCCTGTGCTGCCCTGTGCTGCCTGTGCCTGTTGCTGCCTGTGCCTGTGCTGCCCGTGCCTGTGCTGCCCGTGCCTGTGCTGCCCGTGCTTGTGCTGCCTGTGCCTGTTGCTGCCCGTGCCTGTGCTGCACTGTGCTGCCCGTGCCTGTGCTGCCTGTGCCTGTTGCTGCCCGTGCCTGTGCTGCCCTGTGCTGCATGTGCCTGGTGCTGCTCGTGCCTCGCGCTCGCGCCCTCGTGCGCTCTGCTACTGTCTGCGCCCTCGTGCGCACTGTTTCTGATCTCCCCCCCCCCCCCCCCCCCCCCCCCCCCCCCCCCCGTTTGCGGGTATGGGGGTGGCTGGTGTGCATTCCTCTCTTTGCTCCTCCTCCTCCTTCGTCTCCCACTGCTGCAGCTGTCGCTGAGGGGGGTGGTTGTGTGGGAGACTGGGGTTTAGGGTTTAAGGGGGGTGCGTGGGAGTGGAGCTAGCTGTGTAGCAGCGGGTGTGTGTCAGGGGGGTGGGACTGTTTGGGGAAGCTGCATGGAAGTTGCCGTACTGTTGTCCGCAGCACCTGTAGTCCGGGGCGCTGTCCCGGTAGCCCAGTGAGCTAGACTTCTACGCCAGCCGCCCGTGGGTCCGTTGCTCGTCTGCCGCTACTTTAGCCGCGGGGCCTGTTACTCCTGTAGTCCGGGCGCTTAGTCCGGTAGCCGCTGTGCCAGTCTGCCTCCTGTTGCCCGTGTGTCTGCAGCTTCAGCCGTCTCCTCCTATCTCCTCTCCCCTCACTCTCTCTCCTCCTCCTCACTTGCCCGTTGTGACTACCACTAGCTGTGCTCATAATTCTTAACTTTAAACTATTGCTTCTTTAACTTGTGCTCAAAATGTGTGGTGACATTGTGATCCACCCTGAGCTTGTACTGCTTTGCCTGCTCTGCTGATTACACCCCACTTTGGCTATGGGGGTGTGTCAGAATGTTATTTGTCTAGCTTGCAGTGGGGTGCTCAATAGTGAGTACAACCCCTTAGGGTTTGCCATTTTGTGTGTCCTGCTGCTTCCTAGTCCCCCATTCTTCCTTCCAATTCTCCTTCGTAAACCCTAACTCCTAGTTCTAGAGCAAGCCCACCTACCTCCTAGTGTGGGCCTAGGCTACTAAGCCTAGGCCCCACACCTACTATTTTAACAGTGCAACTCCTATGAACTTTGACACGTCAAGCACACAACCATCCTCAACACCTACAAAGAGGAGGTTTGATGTGCGTGTATTGATGATTTTGTACTAATAATTTGACCGTCTCAAAATTATATAACTTATTACTGTGTTTTCAACTTACGTTTGAATTTTGTATTTCCTTGCAGCGGCTGTGAAGCCCAAGACCCGTGGAGCTGAATAAGAGAAGTTTTGGTTAATTCATGGCACGAAAAACATGTTAATTCAAAAAACATGGGTGGGAGATTGACTAGACAGAACTTATCTCGCTTTGGGTTTTTATATACTTTATATCGTCGACTGCATTGCTAATGCTTGCGTGATTAACTATTTTTGTGTGAATGCGTATGGTTCTGTGTGTATGGTTGTATATGTGCGTGCATGTGTGTGTATATATGCGTATGTGTGTATATGTGTGTGTAAATTCTTCATAGCAATAACAATGCATGTCTGCTAATCTTAAAAAGGGGGTTCAATTCTATCATTTCTCATTGGTTCATTGGCGCACTCAGTGACTCGTGTGTTTGCCACTTCGAACCAGGGTTCTCGCTAGGTTTAGGGCCTGTCTGACAGTACCCTCAAAAACATTTTCCCCGTCTTTAGCTTTGACGACGAAATTTTTGTGGTCTGCAGTATAAGCTGAAATATTTTTCCTAGTCTGATAAACTAGACGAAAAAAAAAACCAAGTCAGCCTACAGCGAGGCTGCACAAGGCAATTACAGAGCTGTGTAAGACACGCGTAATGAATGCGCGTGCAGTTACAAGGCAGCAATCGGCTGTACCTGTGGTGGTCCTTGTCAGAACATTATAGCTTACTTGTTTGTGTAGGCTATAGTGGGGTATCCCATAGGGGGTACAACCCAATTAGGGTTTCCTATTTGTACACACCTCGTTCGTAGTCAATTCATTCACGTTTCTAATTTCACATGGTATCAGAGCAGGTCCCATCCTAGGGACTGTTCTCTAGGGCCCACCGAAGCGCGCCCCGAGGCGCGCGTTCTTTTTTTCTCGCGACCCTCCGTGTCGCCCTTCCCCTCGCGGCCCCGCCGCCTCCTCGACGCGGCCCCTCCGCCTTCTCGACGCGGCCCCGCCGCCTCCTCGACGCGGCCCTGCCACCTTCTCGACGCGGCCCCGCCGCCTCCTCGACGCGGCCCCGCCGCCTCCTCGACGCGGCCCCGCCGCTTCCCTACCTGCGGCCGTCCCGCCGCCCTGCCTGCGGCCGTCGCGCCGCCCTACCTGCGGCCCACTCGCCGCCCTACCTGCGGCCTACCCGCCGCCCTACCTGCGGCCTACCCGCCGCCCTACCTGCGGCCGTCCGCCGCCCTACCTGCGGCCGTCCCGTCGCCCTACCTGCGACCTACCTGCCGCCCTACCTGCGGCCGTCCCGCCGCCCTACCTGCGGCCGTCCCGCCGCCCTACCTGCGGCCGTCCCGCCGCCCTACCTGCGGCCTACCCGCCGCCCTACCTGCGGCCGTCTGCTGCCCTACCTGCGGCCGTCACGCCGCCCTACCTGCGGCCTACCCGCCGCCCTACCTGCGGCCGTCTGCCGCCCTACCTGCGGCCGTCCCGCCGCCCTACCTGCGGCCCACCCGCCGCCCTACCTGCGGCCCACCCGCCGCCCTACCTTCGCGGCCCGGCCGCCCTACCTACGCGGCCCAGCGGCAGCCGAGCCGCCCAGCAGCAGACGCGCCGCCGAGCCGCCCAGCAGCAGCCGAGCCGCCCAGCAGCAGCCGAGCCGCCCAGCAGCAGCCGAGTCGCCCAGCAGCAGCCGAGCCGCCCAGGAGCAGCCGAGCCGCCCAGCAGCAGCCGAGCCGCCCAACAGCAGCCGAGCCGCCCAGCAGCAGCCGAGCCGCCCAACAGCAGCCGAGCCGCCCAGCAGCAGCCGAGCCGCCCGGGAGCCGAGCCGCCCAGCAGCCTAGCGGCCGTGTCGTCTGGCGACCTTCCTCCTGAGCCGCCCGACCTGCCCTACCCGGTGAGCACTGCACTGCTGTCACTGCGTACCCTTCCCCTACTGCTTGCACTGCGCCACTGTCGTCGTCATGGCTACACCCACTGTCCTCACTTTTGACGCTGAGGGTCGAGCCATTGACTTTGAGGTCTGGCTCGACGACCTGCAGCTATTTTTACAGTGCGACAGGGCCGACAGTCTGTCTCTCTTTGACCTCACCTCTGGCGCTGTCCCTGCCCCTGCTGCTGATGCTGACGCCACTGTTCGCTCTCAGTGGGCCACGCGCGATGCTGCTGCACGTCTTGCTGTGCGTCGCCACCTGCCTACCGCTGAGCGCGCGCACTTTAGTCAGTACAAGAGTGCTCAGACCTTGTACGACGCTGTAGTTGCACGCTACTCCTCCCCTGCCACTGCTGCACTGAGCCGCCTCATGCTCCCCTTCCTCTTCCCTGACCTTGCCGCCTTTCCCACTGTCGCTGATCTCATCACGCACCTCCGCACTAGTGACACTCGCTACCGCGCTGCACTTCCTGCTGACTTCTGCGCCAAGAACCCCCCCCCCATGTACATCACTCTCTACTTCCTAGTTACTCGCCTCCCTGACTCCCTTCGTGTAGTCCGGGACCACTTCCTTGCGGTCTGTCCCACCACCCTCACCGTCGACAGCCTCGAGAAGGCCCTTCTTGCAGCAGAGAAGAGCATAGTTGCTGTAGGAGCCTCTCGAGGTGACCCCCGCGCCCCCATCTTTGAGGGGTGTTCTCCTTCCCCTCTCCTGCCCTCTGTTGCCTCTGCCGCTGCGGCCGACCTCGTTGGTCTTGAGTCGGTCGGTGCGGCGTCTGCCCCTAGCGGGAGACGCCGCTCTGGCAAGGGCAAGGGGGGCAAGGGAGCGGGTGGGGCCAGTGGGGGCGGTGGCGGTGGGGGTGGAGGCGGCGGAGGGAGTGGGGGTGGCGGTGGAGGTGGTAGTGGGGGTGGGGGTGCTAGTGGCAGCGGTGGCGGCGGGAGTGGCGGCGGCGGTGGCGGTGGTAGCGGAGGTGGCGGAGGTGGCGGCGGTGGAGGTGGGGCCGCCTGACAGACGCTTGGCGTCAGCAGTTCCCGGAGGCCGCGGAGATCCCCCGCTGGGGAGAGCTGTCTAGGGCTGGTGTAGCTATCTTTGATCTTGATTTTGATGCTATCCTTGCTGCCATGTATACTGTGACCACTAGTGAGGAGGGTGACTGTTACCGGTGTTTCCCGCCCGACCCGGGCATTGGTACTGTTGCTCAGGTACCGGTGAGGCTTCTGCTCTAGGTGCCAGTGCGTCTGTACTCCCAGGTACTCGTGAGACTGCTCTCTCAGGTACTAGTGCGTCTGCGCTCTCAGGTACTGCGTCGGCTTCGGCCTCCCACACCTTCACTCTTGACTCTGGAGCGTCTCGCTCTTTCTTTCGGGACCGCACCACACTTACGCCGCTTAGTCGGCCGGTTGCGGTTTCCCTGGCTGACCCCTCTGGGGGTCCTGTCCTGGCTCGCTTCTCCACGGTCCTCCCGTGTCCGGCGGCTCCCTCTGGCACCCTGTCTGGTCTCTACCTCCCCTCGTTCTCTACGAACTTGGTAAGTGGTGCTGACCTACAGGATGGGGGAGTTCACCAGTTCACCCCTGCTAGTCAGCCAGTGACGCACTGCACGGAGGCTAGCACGGGTCGTCACCTAGCTACGTTTACACGTCAGCCGGGGTCGAGCCTGTACACACTGACCACTGCTTCTCCTCCAGGTGCTGAGTCTGGTAGCGTGCCTTCGTCTGGTCAGGTGTTTGCTGCAGCGTCCAGGTCTGGTCCTGAGTCTGCCCCCTGTTCGTGTCGCCGTCTGTCTCACGAGACCCTCCTCTGGCACCACCGTCTTGGCCACCCCTCTCTGCTTCGGCTCAGAGGCATGGCCTCCCGTCTTCTTGTGTCTGGTCTTCCCCGGTCTCTACCTCCCCTTCCTCAGGGCCCTGGCCCTGCCTGTGTCCCCTGTGTCGAGGGGCGCCAGCGTGCTGCCCCTCACTCCTCCCAGTTTCCTCCGACAGAGGCTCCGTTGCAGACGCTTCACATGGACGTGTGGGGCCCTGCCCGCGTCCGTGGACAGGGTCACGAGCGCTACTTCCTACTGGTGGTTGACGACTACTCGCGTTACACCACAGTCTTCCCCTTGCGCAGCAAGGGTGATGTCACTGAGGTGCTGATCGACTGGATCCGCGCAGCTCGTCTCCAGCTCAGGCAGAGCTTTGGCTCGGACTTTCCTGTGTTGCGTCTGCACTCGGACAGAGGCGGAGAGTTCTCCTCTGGCCTTCTGCGTGCCTACTGTCGTGCGCGAGGCATCCGCCAGACCTTCACGCTTCCGGACTCCCCACAGGAGAATGGGATTGCAGAGCGCCGCATTGGCATGGTCATGGACGTCGCTCGTACGTCCATGATGCATGCGGCTGCCCCCCATTTTCTGTGGCCGTTTGCGGTCCGGTACGCAGCGCATCAGATCAACCTCCACCCCAGGGTCTCCAGGCCGGAGACCTCCCCAGCGCTGCTGTGGACGGGGAAGGTTGGCGATGCGTCGGCGTTCCGGGTCTGGGGATCTCGGGCGTTTGTCCGCGACTTGTCTGCGGACAAGCTGTCCCCTCGCGCTGCTCCCTGCGTCTTTCTAGGGTTCCCCCCCGACGCCCCCGGGTGGCAGTTCTACCACCCCACCTCTCGACGTGTTCTGTCCTCCCAGGACGTCACGTTCGACGAGTCGGTACCCTACTACCGCCTCTTCCCCTACCGCACTCCGTCCCTCCCCCCGCCCCCGCTCTTCTTGGTACCAGGTCCCCCCCCGGTAGACCCCCTTCCCCCTCAGGGTCCTGCCCCTTCAGGTGTGTCCCAGGTAGACGCGGTCGAGCCTGTCGAGGTCACTGGTGACTCTGGTGCGGCTGCGGGAGCTGAGCCTGGGGGTGCTGCGACTGGAGGTGCTACGCCTGTGGGTGCTGAGCCTGGGGGTGCGGAGTCTGGAGGTGCTGAGCCTGGGGGTGCTGTGCCTGGGGGTGCTGTGCGTGAGGGTGCTGAGCCTGGGGGTACTGAGCCTGGGGGTGCTGAGCCTGGGGGTGCTGAGCCTGGGGGTGCTGAGCCTGGGGGTGCTGAGACTGGGGGTGCTCCGCCTGGAGGTGCTTCGTCTCGCCGAGAGCCACTCTCCCCTCAGGAGCTACGTGAGTGGTTTGCCAGACGCTGGAGGCGTGCTGCTGGTGCTGGAGGTTCTTCGGCTGCTGAGGGTACTGCTGCCGAGCGTCCCGGCGGTGCTCGTACTGTGGGTGCTGGAGCTGCTGGGTCTGAGGGTTCTCCTGGAGTTGGTGCTGCTGAGGGTGTTGACGCAGAGACTGCCGCTGGAGGTCCGACTGGCGGTGCTCCTGGTGGTGCTGCTGGAGGTTCTGGAGCTCCTGGAGGTGCTGCTGGAGCGGGTACTCCTGCTGGGGGTACTGGTGCTGTCCCTGCTGTTTCTGGCGTCGCCACGCGGCCCCGGCCGTACTTCGTTCCGCTCCTGCAGCAGGTTCTTGGTCTTACACCTTCTCCTGGTCCTCCTCCTCCTCCCTTAGAGGGTCCACAGCCTCTCTCGTCACAGTCACAGCTACAGCCTGCCTCCCCTTTGCCTGCTCCTTCTCCCTACGCTGGTCCGACTGGAGGTCTTACTGAGCGTCGTGAGCCTGCGTCTCGTCCTGCGTCGCCTGTTCGTACTGCGCGCGCTAGTGGTCGCGGTTCGCGTCAGCGTCCTCCTCCTGTCCCTGGCACGCACCGGATGTCTCTGCGTCCGTCCACTGCTCCTCTGCGTGCCCCTTTGCCTTCTCCTCCTGCTTCCTCTCTTCCTGCTCTTGCCGACCTGGAGTCGGACTCTCTTCGTGCTGCCAGTCCTACTGTCACGCGTCTTCTTGCTACTGCTGTCACTGACCCTTCTTTCGAGTCTTCTGCTGCGTCTGCCCTTGTCACTGAGCTTGTCGACTTTGCTGCGCGCTGTCGCCTAGACTACGCTGCTAGTCTTGTCGCTGAGTCTGAGTCTGCCTGTCCTCCGTCCGTCGGGGGTGAGTGTGCCCTTGGCACGGACGTCCTTGAGGACAGGCAGGAGGAGTTCAAGTGTCTGGCCGCCGCTTCACCTCATCTCGCGTCTGTACTGCTAGCCCCTGAGGGAGACCCGGATGCACTAGACATCCCGACTCCGCGCTCTTACGCGGAGGCGATAGAGGGTCCCTACTCCTCTCAGTGGCAGGCAGCTATGGATGCAGAGATGGCTTCCTGGAAGTCCACAGGCACCTACGTCGACGCTGTTCCCCCTCCTGGGGCGAACATCGTCAGTGGCATGTGGATTTTCAGGGTGAAGCGGCCGCCGGGTTCTCCGCCTGTCTTCAAGGCGCGTTACGTGGCTCGTGGCTTCAGTCAGCGGCAGGGGGTTGACTACTTTCAGACCTTCTCCCCCACCCCAAAGATGACCACTCTTCGGGTACTGCTGCACGTTGCTGCTCACCGTGACTACGAGCTGCACTCTCTCGACTTCAGCACAACTTTCTTGCAGGGCAGCCTGCACGAGGAGATCTGGCTGCGTCGCCCACCTGGCTTCACTGGGTCTTTCCCTCCTGGTACCCAGTGGAGTCTCCGGCGTCCAGTCTACGGTCTCCGCCAGGCGCCACGTGAGTGGCACGACACACTGAGGACTACGCTTGCGGCACTTGGGTTTGCTCCTTCTACTGCCGACTCGTCGCTGTTTCTGCGCACCGACACCTCTCTGCAGCCGTTCTACATCCTCGTGTACGTCGACGACTTGGTCTTTGCCACAGCGGACACTGCTGGACTCGCTTACGTTAAGTCCGAGCTGCAGAAGAGACACACGTGCACTGACCTGGGTGAACTGCGCAGCTACCTTGGCTTGTAGATCACCCGGGACAGAGCACGCCGCACCATTACCCTGACTCAGTCACACATGGTGCAGCAGGTCCTTCAGCGCTTCGGCTTCACGTACTCCTCGCCTCAGGCCACTCCTCTGCCTACTCGCCACTCGCTCTCAGCTCTACCTTCGGATGAGTCCGTAGAGTCGAGTGGCCCGTATGCAGAGCTTGTTGGCTGCCTCATGTACCTGATGACCTGCACACGACCTGACCTTGCATACCCTCTCAGCATTCTCGCACGCTATGTTGCTCCTGGGAGACACCGACCAGAGCACATGGCTGCAGCGAAGAGGGTGTTGCGCTACTTGTGCAGTACGTCGGGCATGGGGCTAGTGCTTGGAGGGCGGAGTCCAGTGGTCCTCACTGGGCACGCAGACGCTTCTTGGGCTGACGACCAGGCTACACAGCGGTCGTCACAGGGTTACACCTTCAGCCTTGGTTCCGGCTCTGTCTCGTGGCGGGCTACTCGCTCGTCTTCTGTTCTCGGCTCCAGTTGTGAGGCTGAGATCTACGCCGGGGCTATGGCTGCTCAGGAGCTTCGCTGGCTCACCTACCTGCTGACCGACCTTGGAGAGCCGCCTCGTTCTCCTCCAGTCCTGTACGTAGACAACAAGGCCATGCTGGCCTTGTGTCGAGAGCAGCGACTGGAGCACAGGACAAAACACATTGCTCTCCGCTACTTTCTTGCTCGTGAGCTGCAGCAGCGTGGACAGTTGCGACTTGCGTACGTGGCCTTTGAGGCCAACACTGCTGATGTCTTCACCAAGGCACTTGCGCCTTGTGATCATCAGCGTTGCTGCACGCAGCTGGGTCTTGTGCCTGTCTTGTCTCACTTGCTCACTTCTTGACCTTGCTTGTACCTTGACCTATATATACTGTTGTGACAAAGTTTGAAGAAAGAAAGAGGAATGAACTAGCAGAAATGGGGATACAAATAGCAAACCCTAGAAGGGTTGTACTCGCTATAGAGCACCCCACTACAGGCTAGAACATAAGAATAATATTCTTGTATATCTCTATATATAATCTTGCATGCGAACTGGCCTTGTGGCCCTTGACCTTGTGCTCGGAATGTGTGGTGACTTTGTGATCCACCCTGAGCTTTGCTTTGCTTTGCTTGACTGGTCTTGTGACCCCTTGTTCTCCCCCACTTTG